CCAATAACCAAAGGGCCCCGGGTTGGAGGGTGACTAGAGCCCCCTTAGCGACAACTCCAAGCCTTACCTGGACAACCAGGAGTATCATTCCTATCATTAATATTTTTATGGTATTATAATTTTATGGACTTACTACAGAGAGGAAGAGGAGAGGGATAGAGAGTTAGAAACATCGATGGGAGAGAAACATCTATAAGCTTCCTCCTGCACACTCCCTACTGGGGTTGTGCCTGCAAGCAAGGTACATGCCCTTGACCAGAATCGAACCTGGGACCTTTCAATCCACAGGCCGATGCTTTATCCGCTGAGCCAAACCGGTTAGGGCGGCACCGGTGTTTTTAATGATTCCCCATGACCTGCTCCTCACCTACCTCAAAACCACCTGGGTAGGTGTTTAAAACCCACTTTCTAAGGCACCACTCCGATCTCCTTGGAAATCAGCATGGAGTCCATCCACCAGGTGAGGACCAGACACCCAGGCCCGGCTAAGCTGACCACAGTCCTAAGCCCCCTCAAAACAGTTACAGCCCTCACCCTCTTCAACACCATCCCTCCTGCTGGACCATCTCTGAGCCCCTCCGTTGAGATGTTGAGCTCCTTGTGCCTTAACCATATCGCTAACACTAACACTACCCTAGACCTAATGCTAAACCTACCCTAATGCTAACCCTAACCCCAGCCCTAACCCTAAACCTAAATGTAGCCTTAGTCCTAACACTAACCCTAGCCCTAATGCAAGCCCTAGCCCTAACCTTAACCCTAACCCTAACTCTAGACCTAACCCTACCCTAGCCTTAAACTTAACCATAATCCTAACCCTAGCCTTAACCCTAACCCTAGCCCTAACCCTAACCCTAGCCCTAACCGTAATCCTAACCCTAACCCTAACCCTAATCCTAGCCCTAGACCTAACCCTAGCCCTAACCCTAACCCTAGCCCTGACCCTAACTTAAGCTTAAGATATGTGTTCATTTCTATGACGACTAAGGAGCTTATCTCTTTTTGTTCCTTTCCTTGCCCTATGTCTGGTTTAGCTAGGTACCTGGTAAACATTTTACTAGGCATTAATGGTCCTCCGCCTTGGCCCAGGCCCCTTTTCTTGGGAAAATATGTTAATCAGAGTCCAAGATCTGGCCTTGCATGGCCAATCTCTTCATCTCCTGTCCTTGCTTCCCAGAGCACTCTAAGAACAGTGGTGCTGGCAGCAGAAGATACATATCAGCAATACTCAGGAGATGGGTGGGTCTCCTCCTTCCGCATCCCTTCCAGACCCCTCCCTAGGAAGTCCTCCCGGGCCCCCTTCCCAGCTTCCTCTTGGGCCCCAGGCCTGGGACTCACAGGCGGGGGCCATGGGGGCGGGGGGATCTGGAGCTCTGTCTTCCTGCCAGGCCCCGTAGATCTCCACTGCCTTCCCAGAAAAGGGAACGCTGGCCTAAGGATGTCACCCATTGTTTCTCCTTCCCACAGCGGCTTGTTCCGGGGAGGAGGTGCACTTCCCTTTGAAGTCCGAATCCATTTCTTTTTAGTAAGGAACGACCAGAGAACTGGGAACACCATTGGCTCTGAACACGAAGTACCTTCAACTCGTGGCTCTCCAACAAGCTAAGAAGCTGCCTGAAGAGCCTGAGCCGTACCTCACGCCGACATGATCAGGATGTATTTCAATTAAGAAACCAAATCTCTGGGCTGGAATGTACATTTTCCTAAGGGTCATCTGCTTGATCAACCCCACAGATGGTGTGGATCAAGGCAGGGGACCCAGGAAGCTGCCTCTGAGAACCCCCGTCAGGAAAGGACTCCAGGAGGGTGGCTGGCGGGCAGCTCCAGCTGTTATCCCTTCCAAGTCCAGCTCAGCTTTGGAGCTGAGCACCTGCTCTTCTCTGGGTGGCCTTGCCAATGTCCAAGTGACATGGCAACTCGTGATGCCCTTGGTTTCTCTGGACCTTGGTTGCTTTTTCAAAGTTACTTTGTCAACTCTTTAAGGGTTGGATTTGACCGATAGCTTTCAAACACACCTAGCAGCCTACCTTTGTCTTCCTCTCTGTAAGTCCACGTTAGAACCACCCAGGTAGGACCGAGCGCACAGCTGCTTTGGATGTGGCAGGGATGGGTCTCAGTGGGGCCCTGCCCCTCTCCGCGCCATCGAGTCTCCACTCCAGTGCCATTCCCCAGTCAAAAGCACTCCACCCTATTGTGCCTTTGACTGATTGTAGAAACCATCACTCATCCAGCCTGGCACAGGTTTAAGCCCTTGGCACTCCCTCACTCAGTTAATCCTCTCAACAGCCATGGCCCTCACCAACGTTACATGATCTGCTCAGCTACAGCTAAGATGAAAGTGAGGATTCAGAGCCCAGGCCAGCTGCTTCCCCAACCCCTGCCGGGTTCCCAGGGGCCCAGACCCTTTGCCCTGCCCCAGGTCCACATTCAGGACCATGGGGATAAGGTACTATCCCAGAAGGGATTCGAGAATAAAAGGTGTCTGGCCAGCTAAGCCTGGAGACACTCGGGGGGGGGGGGGGGGGGGGGCTTTCCGGTTTTGGGTCCCCCGCAAGGGGGAAGGAAGCTTCTTATGGAGAGGCTGCGAGGGGGTGCCCACAACTCCCCTCGCAGCAACCACACATGCAAAGGTTTGACAGAGGACACAATTCACACAGGCCCTCATTAGGGAAGAGGGCCCCCCCTGCTTTATCCCCGGCAGGGAAAGAGCAAGGAAATTGGATCGGCCTATCTGTGCCCGAACAAAAGCCACTGGTGGGCTTCGGAACTGGCAAAGGCTGTTTCCTAATGATGTGCCTCTTAGAAACCGGCGGCTGGAAGGAACTTGAGCAGCCCAGAGTCCCCCGGAGCAAAGGATCCCTCAATTAGCACTTGTTCCTGGAAAGCTCTCACGTGCCAGGCACTGGGTCTGGTGATGCTGGGGATGCAGAAGTGACATCACCGGACGACAAGCATTTTGTGGATTGAGAGGCCTGGTCCCATCGGCTGGAAAGCCATGTCCCTGTACACCACCCACGGTCTTTGCATGGAGCATGAATGAAGTCATCCACGGCTTGGCACCAATGGTATGCACCAGGGCAAGTCTCTGGACACTTCTCGCACGTTTCTCTCTGCTGAGAGTGGCACTGCTGTTTCTCTTCCTTCCTTCCCAGCCATTCTTTCTGGCCTCGGATGCAGCGTCACCTCTTCCAGCACACCCGACAGACTTAGACAGGTGGGAGCCCATCCTATGGGCTGGCATGAACCCCAGTGCCTGCCCCACTCACCATCCTGCCCGCCCATGGCCTGTCTGTGTCCGCATGTTTCCCCAACCTGCACTGAAATGGCACAGGAGGCACTTGCTTAACGTCTCAGGACTGAGTTGGCCGTCGTTGGGCTGCAGTCACTCCTGTTCAATGAGGAGCACGATGGATGGGGTTGCCCATGGACACCGCCCGCCTGATGTTGTGTGGCTGACGGAGGAGGGCTCCTGGGCAGACACTGGTTTCTGGGAGGGGGGTGATCTCCATGGAGGTTTCCAATCAGGTTCCAGTAGCTGCTGAATCCTGCTGAAGCCTGGATCTCTGGGCCCTGGGGAAGGCCGGCCACCCAGGGCTTTTATTAGACTCACCCTGAGAACTGGACTCAGAAACGGTACCAGGCTTTGGGACTCAACAGGCTTTGGAGTCCGTGCCTGACTCTATCCTCACAGGGCGCTTACCTTGGGGGAAGTCTGTGTCTGCCCGGGCTCCTCCCCTAATCTGAAATAGGAACGTGACTCACACCTCCGAAGGCGGGGTGAGGATTCACTCAGGGAGATAGACAAGTCAGCGAGCCGTTACCCCTAACCGGCCGGCACACGCCCTGTCCTGAGGGAAGGCAGCCTTGGCCTTGTCTGGCAGTAGTGATGGTTCACCGTGAACGGAAGACCCTCAAGAACATCCGAGTTCCCACCTGGTGCACAGCGGCCACAAACCTCGGAAGCAGGAAGTCACCTTCACCAGACCCCAGACTTTTAGTTAAATACGCACAATTTTATTGATTGAAGAGATTAGGACAAAAACATTAAACCAAATACAGGACAAAGCACCAGAGGCCACAGATTCCCACCATGCATGTCACCACTCTCTCCTCCTCCCGGGTCCTTAAAAAATACAGGGGGAGGGAAGGAAACAGGTCCTCCTCGACACAGCACCATCCTCAGCGTGTAAAAAGCCTCTCCTCTCCATCTTCTGTTATCAAAATAGAATCCAGGGCACGTCCATGGCTGCCTTGTCTCCAGACACGAACGGGGGAGCCGCCCTCTCGGGAAGGGGCCGGCCGGGCTCCTGTTGGGCAGGCGTGAAGCATCCACGGTCCGCACATACATGCCACATACGATAATGGAGCACAGATTCAAGTAACATTTACATACTAGAGTCCACGTGTCACCTACCCAAAAACAGGACCAGTTCACACAACGTATACAGGCAGTAAAATCCAAACAACTGAGGTACTGGAAACACAAATATTTATGCCGAAAGAGTTCTGTATCATACAGCGATAGAAAAGCCGTTAATAAAAAAAAAAAAACATTGGCCACTCAAAATCAAATAAAGCTATCTAGAAAAGCCAAAGGAAAGGTTATTTCAGGGACAGAAATACTCAAACAAGGAAAAAAAAAAAATATATATATATATATAAATGTTAACGACAGCATGTAACATGTCTCCCAAGTCAACCCGTAATTGAAGTACTGGCTTAATACATCACAATGTGACATTTTCCTTAATAAATAGAAGAGTTCTCGAAGATACAAAGGTGCGTGTGGGGGTAGAAGCCGTTTTATTTATATCGTCCTCGCTTTCAGCTTATTGTCTTTCCCACTTATCTCTACCGAGGTTTTTGTCCAGACCAGAGGGCCTCCGAAGCCAAGAGGGCCATTCTCCACGAAGGGAACGAGAGAGCCGCCCTGTATTTTACACATGGGGGACAACCTGCTCTGTCTCGCTCGTCTCCAATCGAACAAAGACACACATGTTTTCTTGAGAGCCCCGGGTTGTAGAGGCTTCCGACTCCAAGCTTCCTGCTCTCTCACTCCCATCTCCGCCCAGCGCGATGCCTCGCAGGCAACCCTGGTCGTTCAACAGGAAAAAGACTCAGGAGGCGAATGCCTTTCTCCTTTCTTCCTTCCTTTTCTCTTTCTTTCAACTATGAGAGCAGTGATGCTCTGGAAGTTTGACTTCTAAGAGCTTCCTGACACGAAACAGAATAGCTTATGAAGGCCAGGTCCCCCTCCCCTTTTCAGGGAGCTGAGAATGAACATGTCCCTTCCCGAACGGGGTATTGAATACTTTACCTCGAAGGAATGAGTTGAGAGAGCGATTAAGAGACACAAACTGGACTTTCCTTTTCTTTTAGTTTAGCACCCAGGTTTCATGTCAGTCTGTGTGCACCGAATTGTCTTTAAGTGACCGGTTAATGATCAGATAGGTGGTTGGCTTGTTTCAAAAGAAAAAAGAAAAAGAAGAAGAAGAAAAAAAAGAAAACCCTTGGCCGATTGTACCTTCCCTGAATCATGACAAGAAGTTAGATGCTAACAGTGCGATGCCGAGATGTGGGTTTGAGGCAGAGAGTTTCGATTCTGTCAGGATCTGCAACTAGTTTTGAACAAAATGAAAAGTGGGGTGGACAGAGCCAACTGAGGGGGGTGGTCTCCGGGGCTCCATCAGGGAGGAGAAACTGCAGGGGGCTTCCCCCCACCCCTGACCCGGCCCCAGAGCCCGACCCCACCCCACACCTCCCGTCCCCATGCTACATGTTCAGTCAGCTCCTTGAAGGTTTCCCTTCTTTGAACCAAGAAACCTGTGAGTGTCAGTGTCATTCCTGCTACGGAGCCAGGTGACGTGTGGTCCCTGGAGGAAGTCCCTTCGCTGCCCTCTGCCGCTCCGGTACCAGCCCAGTCTCTGTGGGGCGTGAGCTCAGTTAAAGAAAGGGTCCAAGTTCTCTTCCATGTTGACATCCGGCACCAGCTGGTCAGACACCTCCTTAGCACCATATCCTGAACTGGAGACGCTGAAATCTGTAGAAAACCAAGGATGGTCCAGAATTTCCTGCGAGGTCAGCCGCTCGGAAGGCTCCCGCCGCAGGATGCTCCGGATGAGGCACTTGGCCTTGGGCGACAGCGTCTCTGGAATGTTGAACTGGCCGCGCCGGATCTTGCTGAAGAGGGAACTGGGCTCAATGTCATGGAAAGGGTACCGCCCTACCAACATGGTGTACAGCATCACGCCCAGGCTCCACACGTCGGCGGCCTTGCCCGAGTAGCTGCCACTGGTGTTCAAGATCTCCGGGCTCACGTAGGCCGGGCAGCCGTGCTTGTCGGAGAGCGAGTCATCATCTCCCCGCAGAATGTAGGCATCTTCCAGGCTTTCCAGCTTGACCCGGGTCCTGCAAGGAAAGGAGGGACACATGAGCTCCTGAGGGTGCTCCGACACATCATTACATCATAGCTCCTGCTCAGTATCCAGGGACTCCTACTCCTTCCTTCATCCGCTCACCAGCCTTCAACATTACTCACTGAGCACCTTCTAGTGCCAGACCCCCTCCCAGAGCTGGGGACACAGGAGTGAGCAAGACTGACAAGGACTCTGCATGAAGCTTACAACCTATTAGGGGACTCAACCCTTTAGCAAGTAAACAGGTCACCAATAACAGCATTGCCTCGTCTTAGTGCTGAGGGAACAAGACATGAAGTCACCTGCTCCAAGTCACATCTGAGTAATGACTGGGATTCCCAAGATCTGAACTCAGATCCAACCAACTGGGAAGCTGACAGAAGCTCTGTCCACCACGCTTGGTAAACCTGGCAGACACCGTCTGCAAGGACCTCTCACGTTACTCAAGTGCACTTTGGCCTCACACAATGCTTTGGTTAGACATGGAAGGTTGTACGATCCTATTTTACAGGTAAGAACATGGAGGCTCAGAGCTTGAGTAACTTGCTCAAAGCCTTTTAGCTGGGAAACAGAAGGCCTGACCTCATGTCTCCCTAAGTCAACCATGTTGCACGTGTGTACATGTGTGTGTGTGCTTGCGTGCATGGGTGTGTGTGCTTGAATAACAGGATGAGCCCAAGAGCCTTCTCAAACTTGTCACGCTGTTCCCCCATCTTCCCCCTGCCATGTGAGGACCACAGTGCTGGCTGACACGAAAGTAGGACTCTCCTGGGGGCACTGGGTAAGAACAGAGGTGGAGAAATTTCATGAAACTCTGAGTCCCTGGAATCTAGGCCTTTATGCAGTGGGTCTTGATATCATCACTGGGTATAAAATAAAGTAAGTACTCAGTAAAGACTTTTGGAAATAAGTTGAATTCTTATCATTAGCTATACATACTTTCCAGTGAATGGAACTGAGGACCAGGATGCGAAGTGACTTGTTCAAGACTGAGGGCTGTCCCCGACCCAGCAGCATAAGCTCACACCCCAGTGTTCTCTGTTTAGCCAAGAGGCCTCCCGAGAATCCCTGTCTCCCCATCTTGTGATTCTTTAAGGGGAAAATTGAGAATGACTACCTTTCAGTGCTTAAGACCACAATCCTCCTCCTACTCTCCCGGCCCAGAACACTGCCACCCCCACAGAGGGTCAGCGCTTCTCAGGCCCCATAAACTCAGTGGACCCTATTCCGTCACCCTGATCAAGGCTTGCCAGGAAGGTGACATAGGACAGGAAGGAGGGACTAGATTTAGGGTTAGAACCTCATAAATAGCACCAACTAGGTCCGTATCAGTCACATCAAGTGGTTCCTTCATCTCCCTGTTGCCCAGGTGTCATGAGGCTCACATGCCCAGAGAAGAGAAAAGTGCTTGGAAATACCACAAGGTCCTCAGTTAGAGCCCTGACTCCGGTCCATCACTGCTCTTTCTCGCCTTCCTCCTACTGCACATCTTGGCCTTTTAGGGTGATGACCACCACTACTCAGAGAGCCCCAGAGAGGAGGCGAGGCTCAAACTCATCCAGGGAGAGCTCCACAGGACAGGTCTGAGGAAATCTCAGCTGAATCTAAGATCTCATATTTGTTTTTTGTGTGTTTTTTTTTAACATATTTTTATTGATTTTAGAGAGGAAGGGAGAGGGAGAGGGAGAGATAGAAACATCAATGATGGGAGAGAATCATTGATCTGCTGCCTCCTGCATGCCCCACACTGGGGATTGAGCCCGCAACCCAGCCTGTGCCCTGACTGGTAATTGATCCGTTCATAGTTCAACGCTCAACCACTGAGCCACACCGGCCGGGCTAAGATCTCATATTTGGATGGTAGCAGTTTCAAAGACCACGGAGTGACAACTCCCCTGAACTTATTTCCATCCATGAACAAGAAATGGTGTGGGTAGCCCTAACTGGTTTGGTTCAGTGGATAGAGCGTCAGCCTGTGGACTGAAGGGTCCCAGGTTCGATTCCGGTCAAGGGCATGTACCTTGGTTGCGGGCACATCCCCAGTAGGAGGTGTGCAGGAGGCAGCTGATCGATGTTTCTCTTTCATCAATGTTTCTAACTCTCTATCCCTCTCCCTTCCTCTCTGTAAAAAATCAATAAAATATATTTTTTAAAAAGAAAAAAGAAAAGAAATGGTGTGGGTTGGAGCTAGGAGAGTGGACTGAAGCCAGACATCTCCACCTGCGGTGTGGCTGTGGAGCAGTCGCTCAACCTCTACGCCTCTCAGCCTTGCAGAGGACTGTTGAAGAAGGTAACCTTCCTTTGTTTTTTTATTTTAGTTGTTTATTGCAGTAAAATTTGCATAAAATTTCCCACGTTTACCATTTTTAAGTGTAAGGTTCCTTAGCACTGTTGGGCATCTATCTAGACAAGACAGCCTGAACGTCTGCTGGATGGACATCCTGGGGTTCCAGGATGCAGAGCAGCCGATCTGTTACACGTGCTCCCCATGCTCTGTCGTAACCCGTGGTCCACACCATCTCCTCTCCCAACAGCGAATGGCCTAGAAAGGCAGGGAGGGTCGAGGGTGCTATTCCAGAATTGTGCTGACTGAGCACAGACGCCCTCTTGCTTTGCTTTTTCTCCTCTAAGGGGGCAGGTGGGCTGACCCACAGCAGAGATTGGAGGTGAGTCAGTGAAACGCAAGGGGCGGAGGGGAGGGAAGCGCAAACCACAGGCACAAGCGGGCTCTCTCCACAGCTTCCTCCGCCTGCTCTCACCCTTAAACGCGCCTGCCGAGTCCAGGAGTGAGCCAGACTCCTCAACTCCAAGTTCACTGTCTTGGCAGCAGAGGAGCTGCGGGAATAATCATTGCAGTGGAAAGAACAGTAATAATGATAATAAGCCTACCCAGAAGGCGAGGGACGCAGCAGCGGAATGAGCACTAAATCGGAATCGGAGGGTCAAGCCCAGGGCTGGGCTCCTCTGCGGACGCTCACCAGGTAAGGCCAACACCTTCGCCGAGGCCGCAGTGACCTGCGGCATCTCAGCCTCGTCTTCAGCCCTCGCCCCTCTCTCCATCCCAGCCTCCCCACTGTTCCTCAAGCACGCAGACGGACCTGGGTCCTTCCTGGGGCCTTTGAACAGGGTCCCCCTCAGGCCCTCACCCCAAATGCGCTTCTCCAGACGCCAGTGCAGCTCACTCCCGCTCTCTCAGGTCTCTGCACAGGTGAACTTTATGCAAGAGGCCTGGCCTGACCACCCCATAGAGGGCAGCCCCCACCCCGCTGCTCCCTACCCCCTCGTCACCACCTGAACACGACGCATGGTCTTTCAGTACTTACGCATGTTCGCTCTATGTCTTATTCCCATGCTCATCCTGGGGTGATCACCTCATTCCCCCTCCTGGAGCCACGTGCGGGTGGCTGAGGGCCCCCTGCACATAGAGACCAGCACCTGTGTTACCGCGATGCTTCAGCACCTACGCTGGTCCCCGGCACACGGCAGACACTCCGTCCACGGGTGAAAGGCAATCTCGCAGTTATGCCCTCAGCGCTTCTGTGGGCTCAGCTTTAAAGAAACAAGCACCAGCTGCCTCCCTGGCCAGGCTTAGTGAGGTCACGTGAAGGCGCCACGGAAGCAGGTGCTGTAAATCACTTCCCGTGCGGGTGGAGGGAGATCCACCCAGCCCTTCCAGGGACAGACTGCAGCGCCTCGAGCTCTTTGCTAAGCCCCATCTAAAGCCCTGTCACTCTCATCCCTGTCCAGGTCACACCCCCAGGTTCGGACTCTCTCCTTCCCCCTCCCCCCACGCCTCCCCCCCAGGCAGCAGGGACCACACCTGCATCCTAAACCCTCTTCTGGGGTCCTTCTCCAGAAAGGGCCCTAGAAAATGCTAGAGGGCTCTCTCCTGTCAACGAACCCCTCCCTGCAGCCCCCCGCCCCACCCCTCCCCACCTGGAGACGGGACTCAGAGGTTATGCAAATACCTAGGGAATTTGAGAGTGAAATCAAGACACCCCATGCGCTGCGGTCCAGCTGTCCCCAAGCTCACCCATGTGTTGTGTCCCTACCTGCTTGTCACATCGGTGTGGTGTGTGCTGGGGCAGGGCAGCCACAGAGCCGGCCCGTGCAACTCGAAAGTTACCAGACACCAAAGACCACGCTATGGCGCGGAACGTGTGCCAGGTACCTCCGCCTGCTCTCAAAGTTCCTAAGATCAACTTCCAAAGCAAAAATGATCTTCCCTCCATGTGGACCCTGAGCCTGAGGCTGAGAGGGTGGGCACGCTCGTCGGGCTAGTAGGGCTAGTTGGGGGCCGGGCGCTCGCCTCTCTGGGCTGTGAGCTCAGCCAGTGAGGTTCCAACTACGTGGGCAGCACAGGTGCGCCCAGGACCAGGGCAGGCGGCCCCGGGGCAGGAGTCTGCTCCCGGGATGGAGGAGCACACGCATCCCAGGCAGGGGAGGGAGGAGGGAAGGAGAAGCCAGGAAAAGGACGCAGAGGAAACAGCCTCACAGGCGTCTGACCTTGCCTGCTTCTGGGAACATCCTGAACTTGTTTACATCACTCCCAGGCAAGGGTCGAGGCGGGCGGCCTGGGTTACGTCTTTAGACAAGGTCCTTCCAGGGTGCGCATGGCAGGGACCGAGCTGGGCTGGAGTTCCGGTCCAGTCCCCACGGACTTGTTACGCAAGGGAGGTCTCTGGGGCTTGACCCCCCCTCTGGGAATGGGGGCCACTGCCCTCGCCTCTATAACGTGGGTGGGGGAGGCCTGGCGGAGCACCTGCGTGGGTCCGAGTGGGAGGAAATGAATGAATCTGCTTTCCACATCGGACGTCTCCTGAAGAGCCCGGAGACTATAAATTTCCAGGCGAAGAAATTGATTTTCGTGACCATCGGTGGCCCTAATAATTCAAATGTCCATCATGTGGGCATTTAAACTAGGAACTGGGGGTGCAGGCGTGACACGTGACACCCATTTGCTCAGTTCTGTGAGGATTCAATGAGCAATGC